CCTGGCGTACCCGTAGCCTCGAGACATTAAGATACGCCTGGCGTACCCGTAGCCACTGCAAAACGTAAAATGATCGGGCTTTTTAACACTTATCTATCAACATGGACATCTCACCTATCTTTTTGAACACTTCCACAACTTTACACCAGGTATTTATGCTGTTATTCCTTAAAGTCAGCACTTATTGAAATTACATTTCAAATCATGTGGCGTGCGCACGCGTAATGTCACCGGATATGTTGGCAAAATGCAAGGCAGCTATGGTGCATGTATTATTAACGGGGGTGTTCCTGCTTGTGCTCCCGATTGTGCGCACATTGGCGCATCAGGGCGAGTTTACCCACCACCCCCGTTAATAATACATGCACCCTTTCACGCACAATAGCTGCCTTGAGTCACATCAGTTGGACCATTTGCTTAGATTACAGCTATGGCAGAATGTGCTATAGCCCTGCGGCAGCGATCCGCGGGCTATAGTACTAGAGCTAATGAGAGTAGTACTTTCATATACACTCTTATACACACTACGTACGGTAGGTGCAGAACGGGGTTGCTGTTTATCGAACCCCGACCAGCCAGTCGCAAGTGCCTAGCTGTGCCTGTGGTACTACCACTACCAGTCGGATTGGTAATCGTTCTTCGTTGTTGAAATGAAAAATCGTCAAATGTTACTGCTGCTCGTTGAAAAGTGATAATTGCTGCGCCTTTTCGTACTGATAAAAAAGTAATGGTAATGCCGCAGACACTTAGATTTTGGAACGTTTTAAATTCAATAGTAAAATGATGGTAAATAAACACGAAATGTATTTACTACCAGGTACCAAAGTCTTGCACGAACGCATGCACGCACTATACCTCTACAGTGAGTATATAGAAAAATGCATTTCTTTAGGCATTGTTGTTAAACATGGATGCAATACATGGTTTCTTCTGAGGGAAAATTAGACAACGGCGGTATTAATGGCCAGTTTGGGGAAAAACGTGCATGATGGATTCAAAGGCATGCAGTAGGCACGAATGTGGATTCAAAGGCAGATGCCGGGAAGAGGTAGAGGGGGGTTCTGGGGGTCTCCCCCAGCAAAATTTAAAAAAATTGAATGTCTTGGACTGCATTTGAGGCACCCCGAAAATAAAATTTCACCTTTTAGTTAGCAGTCTTCCTCTCTAGTTTCTGCTCTAGTTCTGTTAGCAGACCTACCAATTATCACGCATTTCGCGGGAGACACACATCTGGACCCATTTTCCTGCACTCCCGCATGCCCTACGCATTCTCACGCATTCACGCAAAAGAAAAAAAAAGAAAGAAAAAAAGCAGCCTGCGACATGCACCCCTGTTACCCACGTCTGTGCTGTGCACATCGTGGCTCGTGCTTGCTGGCTGAGGCGGCATTGATTGAAGTACGGGGGGAGGGGGCGAATGCACTGATTGTTACAGTTACGTGGGCATGCTTATTGCTGTATATGTAGGGGTGGGCACTGCTGGTATGAGGGAGCGACAGCAAAACTTTCCCAGAATCTAGGAAAAAGCTGCAATCGGAAATGACACAGGAGTGTGCCGGCACGCAAAAAGAAACGTTGCTGTGAATTTCATTACGATTTTCCATGTATATAGTCATAAGCACGTGTTGATCTATTTATTTTTGGATTGACACTATTCTGACAACGGCGGGTAAATACAGAAACATTTTCACAACGTTCGGTGTTGTTAAATTTGACAACGGCGGTGCGCCGCAGTGCCTCCTACGTAGAAGAAACCCTGCATTATATTTACTTATTGTATAGGCATTCTAGATACATTGACTAATGGAGTCTATGATCTCGTGGCTAAATGTCGTAGTCACTGAATTTTTGGAGGATGGAAAGAAGAGTTTGATACACATAGCTCAGCACAACATTGAGATGGACTTGGACTACATGCGATGGGTGCTATGGCTTATAACACCAGTGATTATAGTCCTTCTTCTACCCCTGATCATCATGATTCTATTGTATGGGTCCGCTCTATTTCTCACCATTCACAAGTAAGTGACAACAGTATGATACTCCGACAACTAACCTCCCCCATTGCACATAGATTGTATAGTGCCATGTCCCACTCTATGTTTAATATTCTTAGCCATGCATCTGGATATATCCTGTGACCACCAATGTGACCACTGAAAAGATCACTGTGAGGCACCTCTGACTCATTTGATCTAATAACTATAAAAATATTAATACATAAGTTGTGTTACAAGAGGGGTGCCTCCGTGAGCACGTATAATCTGACACGCTGAGCTTCACTTACTTGTTAGACAGGTTCCTAGTCATTTTTCAGATAGGAAAAATACAAGAAACGAATCTAACAGCACGGCCCGCTGTAACAGCTAGCTAGGGTGTGCTCTCAGTGATGGAAATTTGGTTGAATTAATCTTTATTATCAATCTGCCCAGTAGTTACCTCGAGTGCTGTGATCTGTGAGCCAACCTGAAAGTATATATGGGACAACTGTATATTTGACAAAAGCCAGATGTGCCAAAAGTACATGTTGCTTATATGTACATAGTAAATAACTATTGCTCTTGATCATAGTTGCCTCGTATTACATTTCTTTGCAATAATTTGTAGCATATGTTAACCTATATAGGCACCGGCATAGATTGTATGAAGTGCTGGAAAGCAGAGACGTTTGGGAAGGTGCGCGCTGTGCATTGGCTAGCTTTTGGGATGCATGGGGATGGCTGTGGCACGGTGGGTACTAGCAGTAACTAGCTGTATTTTCACAAGTTGATCATTAGCAGCTTAAATGCTAGCAAATATGGTGTTATATAAATGATGTTCATGTTAGTATTAGAAGATAATAACAAGTGTATAACTGCATATATGTGTAAATATTGATAACTATAAACATAAATTATATTGCACTATGTGTCTCTACCTGATTGTACTGTGTCGATACATATAATTATACATGTCGATATCTTTAATGGATGGTTTTGTTTTCGATAGGCTACGAACTCGAAGGACTAGAAAAAATACCGGACAGAGGTTCGGCCATGCTGGTATATTACCATGGTGCGATTCCTGTAGATTTCTACTACATGGCTGCAAAGATCATTCTGCATAAACGCAGAAACATGAAGGTCATAGGAGACAGATTCCTCTTCAAGGTCCCAGGTGAATTTTTTTTACATCTTTGTGATATACGTATGCATGTTGTTGCTATAGCAAATTGATTACTCCTTACTCTTGCATATGAATCTATCAGGGTAGTTAAAGTTGTGCATTTTCTGTCAATACAACCAGGGGCCCAGTAATTGTCAATATTCTGTTAAAGGTGGTAGGGCAAAAATAGGCACTCAGTTGTTGTTTTTTACACACATGCATGCACACATGCGTGCGTGCACGCACATTAGTTCATTCATTAAATTTTCAACATTTAACTTTTTTAATATGTGGATTTAATATTTGCAGGTTGGAAACTGCTAATGGAAGTGTTTAATGTGATACCTGGTTCACAGGATAGTTGTGTAGAGGTGAGATTACGCTTAATTTACTTGTACTTCTACAATTATAATGCAAATTAAGTAATGTAAAGGTATAGTATAATGCTAACGGAGCAGTAAAATATATGCAAGTGATTTTTTAACTACAATATAAAAATGACAGCAGTCCATGGCTGCATGGACAAATACCTGTTAATTGTTAAGGTACTGTCATGTTCGCAACACTGTAGATCCACATTACACTTACAGTCCGACCTCCTTTATCCGGCCGTCCGTTATCCGGAAATCTCTATTAACCGGCCGCGATCTCGCAGTGTATGTTCTCTGTTTTTTCATTTATTTCCACCTAAAAATCTCGCTGAAAGCTCGCTCAAAACTCGCGCGATGTACCAATGATTCTCGCGCGATGTACACATTGATTATCGTAAGAGCGCACAGCTATCACATACACAAAACAAACACACTTACCGTAAGAGCAAACGCCCATGTACATGTACATGTATAAATATACGGCCATATTAATACGAATATTTCACGAATACGTACTCACTTGTTGATGCTGTAAAAACTACCAAGGAATAAAAGATATATACATTGTATACTATATGAATGAACAAAAATGTGTGTGTGCGTGCATGCGTGCGTGTGTGTGTGTTGTCCGCTATGCCTCCGGACAACTTTCGTCCGTTAACGAACAACTTTACTAGCGGACGTTAGTGAAACGCGCTACCTCGCTATGCACTCGCGATCGATCGAGCCCCGTACTTCAATCAAAGGCGCTGCTGCCGCACACATGTAACAGCCTGATCGTTACAGCCCTAGTTCTCAGCACAAAAGAAACAAACAGACCAAAGTGGTAAAATTTCTGTTTTATTTCATTTTATTTCCATTTTATATAAACCATAAAACACGACAGTTTGTTACAAATAATCAATCGTAGCAACGAGTAAATACATTATCACATGCATAAACCCTACTGAACTGCATAGAAATGCTGTGTTTAGGCATTACTCTCTTATCCGGCCAAATCCCATATCCGGATGGGTGCCGGTCCCGACGTGGTCGGATAAAGGTAGTCGGACTGTACATCTATATCCATCAATGTATCTAATCACAAGTATAGTGTTCTATGCAAGCATTTTGTGCATAAAAATATTGTGCTCAGCTAGATTCTACATAAAAGCTGCCTTGTTCAAGGTTTGCATTCCCATGTTGACATCTAAAAGCATGGAATGCTCAGGTGCAACGTATTATACACTGACTCCTGCGTGACTTAACTTCTCTGCATATATATCTGTATGTCATTAGGGCATGTTAAATGTTCGCAAATAAGCCGAAACTTGTATGATTGTGCAAATATCTAATAATGAAAGTAATTTTGATCAAAATATTATTTTCTGAATGTTACTTTACTATTGGCGTTAAAAAAACGTTTTATTTCATTGCACAAAGTATTTGAAAAGGATAATCACAGATGAGTGAACATACACTAAGCTGAACCCTGGTGGCGCTGTTGCTGTGCTGTCTCTGCATGCTGAAGTAAATTTTGAATGTACAGACATGACGGTTTGGTTACATTTTGCAAGTTATATTCATCAATTCACAAGGCTTGTTTGTGCAAAACGTGGCATTTTGGGAACATTTTAATGTAGCAATCAAGAAATGGTAGTGTGTGTACATGAACATTTGAGGCAGCTTTTCATTGGAGAATGCCATATTAATAGCTATTTTACCCAGGCTTTTGTTAAACACTTGCAGTCTTTGTTATTATTTTATTTTTTTATTATTATTACAGTCGGTTGTATTTAGTTCCAGCATGCCCATCAAAATGGGTTTTTGGTTATGGGACTTTGTCTAAAGCTGGGTGCATCTTACAGAATCATCGAGTCATGGTTGAAAGGGCTGTAAAGTATATAAATTTACTGAAACAGGACTTGATTATTAGTACTGTGTAAGAGAACTTGCCCTCATATTTTGAATGATGATTCATGTTGCAGCTGCTTAACCAGGGTGAGTTGATGGGCGTCTCACCAGGGGGCGTTCGAGAAGCCATGTTCTCCGATGAAAACTACACGATCCTCTGGGGTAGACGATCAGGGTTTGCCAAGGTGGCACTCCGTGCAAATGCAGTAAGTGATTAATCACACTTACTGGGTGTATGCCATCCATGCACATGTGGGGGTGACGTTCATGTAGTTAAAATCAGGAGTAGGATAACAGCATAGTTATCTGTTATTGTCTGAAGAAAACATTATCAGCAATTATTTTACTCCTGATGAAACGCACGTGTATAGTGCACGATGCTTGTTAGAAGCTTGATATTAGAATAAAAGCATGTTGTAGTTGAGTGTGATATGATAAATAATGACAATATATGCTTATAACCTGTGTTGTAATTACATATAAATGCCCTAGAACATGCTGCATGTACATGAGTGGCATACATGTCTGCCAATATTTAGCTCGGTAATATCACAACTGATTGGTATAGGTAACTGTTTTATGTATGATTGCATTTGTGCTTGCATTCAGCAATGTGTAAAAGAATCATATCAACATGACAAATGGAAGATATTTATTGCTGGGTGGCATTTTTGCATGGAACAATGCCACATAGCTAATCTCATCTAACGTACATAAACGTTTCTCTTTGTTTCTCTATTACAGCCTGTATATCCGGTCTTCACAATGAATGTCCGAGAAACATTTCGATATTTGCATATTGGATTCTTTAAGAGTGAGTAGGTAGTAGGTACCCGAGTAGCATCACTCACAGGGCTACTGTTGGCGTTCGCCACCTTCGCAAAATGAGATAAATAAATAACAGTGCTGATTTTACAGGGCTGTAGTGGCCTCCCAATATGTGCTACTGCAGAAAAATGTAGGATCACCCAGGCATAAGTAGCGGTTACGGTGTGTGCCGCAGTCGCGAAGCCCATGTGGGGGGTCTGGGGGCCCTCCCCAAGAAAAAATTTGAAATTTAGAGCCTGTAAATGGCATTTCCTGCATTTTCAGGCTATGTTGAAAGCAACCAATTCTGATCAATTTGTAAATTTCAAAAAGGAATGTAGCTAAAGCTGATGTTTTGACTAAAGTATCTAAAATATGTTATGAGTAGGAACTATGACTGCACACGCATGTGTCGTTTCATCTCCTTGGTATATCTAGCTCCTTGGTTCCCTGCACAATTTTTTTGTCAAAATAGTGCCACGGCAGTGCCGTGCTGCCATGGCGGCCGCTACAGCCCTGTTTTACTACACTAAGTGGTGAATACAATTGGCAAATGATCTAACTGCTCACAAAATCCTGATATATCGATCATATGGTTTCTTTTAGAATGTTTTACCTATGCTGTGCTTTATTTTTATCAAGGCCACTAAAACCATGATGACGCATAAAAGTTAAAGCATAGAATTACATTTTGAGCTACTGTAAATGTGCATAGAGTTGTTTTGTCTCTGCAATTATTTTCTGTTCCTTAGGTTTGCTGAAAAAATTCTACGACATGTATAAATTGCCATTGTTACCTCCGTATGGCAATTTCCCAGTGTATATAAAGTAAGTATCTTAAGCCAAGTATGCATACACATGATGTATGTAGATTTACTCCACTGACTTTGGCCAGACCATAGGTTTGTCATATATGCAAGCTTAAAGTGCATGCATCCTGTGTTTAAAAACAAAATTAAAACAGCCATACAACCCATTTGCACGTAACACGTGAGTGCTCAGTGGGGTTTTGAGTATAATTCTAGCCTATATTCTTGTATTTTTGCAACGCAATTCATTCCGCCATCTACCAACATTGTGTAGAGGTCTGAGATGCTATGTGAAAATCTACGCATAAAATTATGTATGGAAGAAGGTTCCACACTTTAGCGTACCACCCATCGACTATCGCGGTAATTGCTCACACTCACGGATCTGTGACAAGACTGCCACTATGTTTTTAGAAAGAGAGAGAGAGAGAGTGAAAGAGAGAGAGAGAGGAGGGGGTGGAGAGAGTGTGTGTGTGTGTGTGTGTGTGAGAGAGAGAGAGAGAGAGAGAGAGAGAGAGAGAGAGAGAGAAAGAGAGAGAGATGTTAAATGCATTATAATATATTGCTGCTTTACAATTTTCATCATCAGGACATTCATAGGAGACCCAGTTCCCTATAACTCTGACACTAGTGCCGAGGTGCTTGCTTCTGAGGTGAGTGTGATTGCTACA